CCCCCTTTTTGGGGCCCCCTTACCCCCTCCTATGTGCGCCAGGTCCAAGTTTCATGGGCCCCTGTAGGCCCCCATTGCTGCTGTCTCCATCGCCCACCTGCCTGTCCCACTTTCAGGTCTTCTTCACACTGCGTTTTTGGTCAATTTGTGTTTTTGGTGTGGCAGTTTACGGGCCCCCATGCTGCTGCCGGGCCCCCTAATCGCCAGGGCCCCCCTTACCCCCTCCTTGCTGCTCCCAGGTCCGAGTTCTATGGGTCCCTGTCGGCCCCCTTGCGTGTCTCCATGCCCACTCTCCCATGTGCCACTTTCAGGGTTCCTCACATGTGGTGGTTCCATTTTTTGTTCATAGGGTGTGGCAGATTACGGGCCTCCCATTGCAGCTGCCAGGCCCGTATCCTGGCCATGTGCTGCCAGGTCCAGAGTCTCTCATGGGTCCTGTACGGCCTCCCCTTTGCTGCTGTCTCCATCGACCACACTCTGCCATGTGCCACTTTCAGGTATCCTCACACTGCTGGTGTGTTCCATTTTTTGTCATAGGGTTGCTGGCAGATTACGGGCCTCCCATAGCTGCTGCCAGGCCCTAATCTGCCATGGGCCCCTGTACCGCCCAGGGTCCTCATGCTGCTGCCAGGTCCACAGTGTCTCATGCCATGTGCCACTTTCAGGTCTCCTCACACTGCTGGTGTGTTCCATTTTTTGTCATAGGGTGCTGGCAGATTACGGGCCTCCCATAGCTGCTGCCAGGCCCCTAATCTGCCATGGGCCCCTGTACCGCCTCCTCATGCTGCTGCCAGGTCCACAGTGTCTCATGGGTCCCTCATGCCATGCCACACTCTGCCACCACTTTCAGGTCTCCTCACACTGCTGGTGTGTTCCATTTTTTGTCATAGGGTGCTGGCAGATTACGGGCCTCCCATAGCTGCTGCCAGGCCCCTAATCTGCCATGGGCCCTGTACCGCCTCCTCATGCTGCTGCCAGGTCACAGTGTCTCTCATGGGTCCCTGTACGGCCTCCCATTGCTGCTGTCTCCATCGCCACACTCTGCCATGTGCCACTTTCAGGTCTCCTCACACTGCTGGTGTGTTCCATTTTTTGTCATAGGGTGCTGGCAGATTACGGGCCTCCCATTGCTGCTGCCAGGCCCCTAATCTGCCATGGGCCCCTGTACCGCCTCCTCATGCTGCTGCCAGGTCCAGAGTCTCTCATGGGTCCCTGTACGGCCTCCCATTGCTGCTGTCTCCATCGCCACACTCGTGCCATGTGCCACTTTCAGGTCTCCTCACACACTGCTGGTGTGTTCCATTTTTTGTCATAGGGTGCTGGCAGATTACGGGCCTCCCATAGCTGCTGCCAGGCCCTAATCTGCCATGGGCCCTGTACCGCCTCCTCATGCTGCTGCCAGGTCCACAGTGTCTCATGCCATGTGCCACTTTCAGGTATCCTCACACTGCTGGTGTGTTCCATTTTTTGTCATAGGGTGCTGGCAGATTACGGGCCTCCCATAGCTGCTGCCAGGCCCCTAATCTGCCATGGGCCCCTGTACCGCCTCCTCATGCTGCTGCCAGGTCCACAGTGTCTCATGCCATGTGCCACTTTCAGGTCTCCTCACACTGCTGGTGTGTTCCATTTTTTGTCATAGGGTGTTGGCAGATTACGGGCCTCCCATTGCTGCTGCCAGGCCCCTAATCTGCCATGGGCCCCTGTACCGCCTCTCATGCTGCTGCCAGGTCCACAGTGTCTCATGGGTCCCTGTACGGTCTCCCATTGCTGCTGCCATCGGGCAGCAGGGTCGCCAGCAGTGTCAGTGGAGACAAACGGCCACGGAGTAGAGCACCAGCTCCACTGCAGCCTACCACCACGGCCAGTAGTGGTGCCGGTGTGCACGGAGGAAGTAGCAGTCAGCCAGTCCATGCTGGGGCAAATTTCCTACTCGGCGGTGCAATTTTTCGTTCAAGCCGCCCGATAGGAAGTAAACGTAGCCTATGTGGCCCTAATCAAGCGTGGCCAGGGGGCCCTGTACCGCCTACAGCGCTTGCGTCAGCAGTATGGGGTCCCTGCGTCCTCCCATTGCGGTGGCCATGGCCAAACTCTAAAGATGGCCACTTTCAGGTCTCCTCACACCAGGTGTGTTCCATTTTTTGTCATAGGGTGCTGGCAGATTACGGGCCTCCCATTGCTGCTGCCAGGCCCTTAATCTGCCATGGGCCCCTGTACCGCCTCCTCATGCTGCTGCCAGGTCCACAGTGTCTCATGGGTCCCTGAACGGCTCCCATTGCTGCTGTCTCCATCGCCACACTCTGCCATGTGCCACTTTCAGGTCTCCTCACACTGCTGGTGTGTTACATTTTTTGTCATAGGGTGCTGGCAGATTACGGGCCTCCCATTGCTGCTGCCAGGCCCCTAATCTGCCATGGGCCCCAGTACTGCCTCCTCATGCTGCTGCCAGGTCCACAGTCTCTCATGGGTCCCTGTACGGCCTCCCATTGCTGCTGTCTCCATCGCCACACTCTGCCATGTGCCACTTTCAGGTCTCCTCACACTGCTGGTGTGTTCCATTTTTTGTCATAGGGTGCTGGCAGATTACGGGCCTCCCATAGCTGCTGCCAGGCCCCTAATCTGCCATGGGCCCCTGTACCGCCTCCTCATGCTGCTGCCAGGTCCAGAGTCTCTCATGGGTCCCTGTACGGCCTCCCATTGCTGCTGTCTCCATCGCCACACTCTGCCATGTGCCACTTTCAGGTCTCCTCACACACTGCTGGTGTGTTCCATTTTTTGTCATAGGGTGCTGGCAGATTACGGGCCTCCCATTGCTGCTGCCAGGCCCGTAATCTGCCATGGGCCCCCGTACCGACTCCTCATGCTGCTGCCAGGCCCGTAATCTGTCATGGGCCCCTGTTGTCGCTTGTTGGCATATTCCGCTCGTTCAGATGCTCCTTCTCCTGCTACTCCTCTTCACGGATTCCGTCAGCAGTCTTTCTTGGAATCCGTTTCCAAGAGACAACAGTTTGCGAGCACGCACCCGACGGTGCAGAAGCTGAACGTCCTCCTGTCCAAGTTGCTGCTGCCAGGCTCGTAATCTGTCATGTGCCCCTGTACCGCCTCCTCATGCTGCTGCCAGGTCCAGAGTGTGTCATGGGCCCCCGTACCGACTCCTCATGCTGCTTCCAGGCCCGTAATCTGTCATGGGCCCCTGTACCGCCTCCTCATGCTGCTGCCAGGTCCAGAGTGTGTCATGGGTCCCTATACGGCCTCCCATTGCTGCTGCCAGGCCCGTAATCTGCCATGGGCCCCCGTACCGACTCCTCATGCTGCTGCCAGGCCCGTAATCTGTCATGGGCCCCTGTACCGCCTCCTCATGCTGCTGCCAGGTCCAGAGTGTGTCATGGGTCCCTGTACGGCCTCCCATTGCTGCTGTCTCCATCGCCACACTCTGCCATGTGCCACTTTCAGGTCTCCTCACACAGCTGGTGGGTTCCATTTTTGTCATAGGGTGCTGTATGGCCTCCCATTGCTGCTGCCTCCACCGCCACACTGTGGCTCCACACTCTGGTTTTGGCCCCGTGACTGCCCAAATGAGTGAAGTGTGCGGTGTGAGTGAAGATCGACGGCACTCATCTGCATGTCATACTGACTGTCAGTATTATTTCTCTTCCCCAGCAGACTGCAAGGGCATTTAAATTAAAGGTACAGTGTTCTGCACTAATATAAAGGCTCTCTGAAGCCTAGAAACACCCTTTTATACGTTAATTCGCAGCGAATATATTCGACTCGAATCAAAATTTTTTCACGAATTCGCCGAATCAGTCGAATCGAATTTTTGAATAATTCGCTCATCTCTAATTATTTTCTGTTTCTATATGCAAAAAAATGATTTTCCTTTGTTGGCTATAATGGAAGCTTCAATAAACAAGCCACATTTTCAATTGCATAATCTGATATTCTCTGTTGTTCTACTGTTTGCAGTCATTGTAGAGACATAAAACAAAATGTCCTGGCACTTTATTATATATACCAACAATCCTTCTTATTCAGTAGCTGCAGTGTTCATTCATATTCAACATTGATTAGACCAGGCACTCCTTTGGAGAATTTTGAGTCACGGAACCAGTTCTGCAAGGTATTGGTACATGATATAGGTGTGTGACTGCTGACCTGCAGCCCACACAGTCACATGGGCATTGTACCAACTCTCATAGGTGAGCAGTGCCAGTTATCCTTGGAACAGGGTGTATAGTATGATTATCCATACAACATGATATCAGAGGAGTGTATTTCCAATAGGAGAGAGCTCGCAATAAATGGCAAAAAGGAGAATTCGGCTACATTCACACGCAGTTTAACCGTGGATAGTTTGCTGTGCTCAGAGGTTGCTAAACACCACCTTTAGACCAAAACTCAGAAACAATGACCCTGGATGCACACTGTCTGCGTCTGGGGTTGGTATTCACATGTAACCATTCAGACCAGTGGGTACGTGAGGACAGCAGCTGCCATACAATCAGAAATAGTGTCACACTCCACTACCAATCGCAATAATAAAATTGTGAATAGATAAATATTAAATAAAATTTAATAAATAATAGTCCAGCATCAAAAGAATATATATACAGTTGTGCTCAAAAGTTTGCATAGCCTGGCAGAAATTGTGAAATTTTGGCATTGATATTGAAAACATGACTGATCATGCCAAAAAATGCTCTTTTATGGAAGGATGATGATCATATGAAGCCATTTATTATCACATAGTTGTTTGGCTCCTTTTTAAGTAATAATGATAACAGAAATCACCCAAATGGCTCCGATCAAAAGTTTGCATACCCTGGAATGTTTGGCCTTGGTACAGACACACAAGGTGACACATACGAATTAAAATGCCAGTTAGAGGTTAATATCGCACATCTGTGGCCTTTTAAATTGTAATTAGTGTCAGTGTATAAATAGTCAATGAGTTTGTTAGCTCTTACGTGGAAGTACTGACTAGGCTAGATACTGAGCCATGGGGATCAGAAAAGACCTGTCAAAAGTCCTGCGTAACAAGGTAATGGAACTTTATAAAGATGGAAAAGGACATAAAAAGATTTTGGCCAATATTTAAATGAACAGAAGACGTGTGTGGGGATCTCAGCAGCATTGGTCTTGTTTAGATTTTTCGTTATGGATGTTAAAAACAGACAGTTGAGCCATGTTTTCAGCGCCCCACCACCCAACTGCAAGTGTACAATCCAAACGCACATTTTCCTGTGTTAAAAATGGCTGTGTGTATAAGTGGGTGCTGCAGCAACCATCGGCTGGAACTGAACAGAATCAGCAAGGGAGAATGTCAACTGCACACAGAGGATCACCAATATGGGTCCAAAAGTTTTAATAAACGATCACATAGTTACAGCAAGGCAACATTTCAGAGTCTCGCAGGACCCCTTCATCAGGCATGTGATCTGCCTGATGAAGGGGCCCTGCGAGACTCCGAAACGTTGCCTTGCTGTAACTATGTGATCGTTCATTAAAACTGTTAGACCCATATTGGTGATCCTTGGTGTGCTGGTGACATTCTCCACCACCCAACTGCACCTCCTTAAGCTACAAAGGCAGTTTACAGGCATGCTGCAATCACGATGCTTTGCATCTGTGGCACAAATTATGGCTCCTGTCTTGTCCTGTCCTGGGCAGTGCCACCACCGAATGTGACCCATCTGAAGCAAATGGGGAAGTGCCACAAACACCCCACAACTGCGTGTATTTATGTGGTTAAAACAGGTGATGAGGTGGCCTCCTCACTGCCCGTCAAGCATCTATGAAAGTCGTGGCATGTATTTGTAGCCTTATAACTTGGTGCAAAGGAATAGTATGATTATAATCATCTTCTAGCAATTTTTTGGTGCAGTGGAATTTAGCATAATGAACTCATTTAGTTTCTTTTACACGCACATAGTAATATATAACCACAGCCATAGTAAAACTAAGCTTACAAGAAGGAATTTAGAAACAGAGCTGTGGGTGTGGGCCAGGCAGCTGAGCTCTGTGCTGTTGGCTGTTATCTTGTCAGATTTTCATAGGATTTCCATGCTTCTCATTAAACATTCACAAGATCATATCACATGAGAACTGAGCCAAGAACCATTGCAGTGCCTCATCAGTGAAACAAGCAATTGACAGAAAAGCCAGTTAAACTGGGTGCAGATACACTGGCTTTACTACTGCTGAAAACTTCAGGAGTCTGTGATCCTGGCCCGAGTGTTCCTACCATTTATCAAAGCCAGAACTGACATGGCTCCGTGTCACTTGTGGCTCTTCAAGAGTTGGCATGGTTTGGGTTGAATTAGCTTTTGCTATTCAAATATTTATTCCACACGGAAAAGAACATTCTGTGCGACATAATCAGTTTAACTACTGAAGTCTACTATTACAGTTTTCCCTTGTTTTCCAGTTGAGCAGTCACTGCCGAATTAAACAAGCTATTGGTGAAACATTAATATTTATTCAACATTACCACACAATGGTTGGCCACAGGCACTACAGACTCTAGAAATTGAACGGAGAGGTGAGAGCTTGTGAGGCCTACACAATTACCACCTGCTTTTAGTTTGGTCTGAATAGAACATCCTGCAATATAAATGTCAATGGAACTTTTTTGCAAGGTTTTCCTTAGGCTGGCCATACACTATACAATTTTCTGTCCAATTTCTGCCCAATTTCCTTTAGATTTACTTTCAACTATGTAGTGCAAGGGTCTGCTTAATTGGATACAATTGAAAGTGTTGTTTAGGTTTGACCTCATATTATATGGTTTTTGGTAAATCTAAAGCAAAATTCTCAAGAAAATTGTATAATGTATGGCCAGCCTTAGAAACCAGTCTAGCTCCTGTGTTTTAGTTGATTATGAACTGAGACTTGTCCTAACACAACCCTTACTTTTCCATATACGCTTACGATGATGCAATATTAAATTACTGACTAACAAAAAGTCAGGAAAAGGCAATTGTATGGCCCCTTTCACATATATGTTCGGATCGGGTCTGCCTGGCGGACCTGATCGGGACCACTATTCTCCTCTATGGAGTGGCAGGTGTAAATGGACATGTGTCTGTTTACACCCGCTGACATCCAATCTGATCCGATCCACCAAAAAAGAGTTGGATAGGGATCCATTCCCCTTCCGTCCATTGGATGGAAACAGACAGGTAGAGGACAGCACGCTGTGTCCATGTCTGCACTGTACAAGTGGAGCGGACACAGACTTGTCATCTGCTTGCTCAGCGGGGATCAGCAGACAGATTCCCCGCTGAGCAAGCGGATCCGCTAATGGGTCCGCCCTGTGTGAAAGGGGCCCAAGAATCAGAATCTCCCCTCCTAAAGCCTCATACACATGATGAGAATATTGGACGAAAAATACAGCTATCGTCTGATAATCTGATTGTTAGTAGCTTTCTAGAGCTGATCACAACAGTTCATGTGAAATTATCCGAAGGGACAAACACAAAAATTTTTCTGATACAATAACAGGACAAATTTTCGTTTAAATCAGTACAGTGTTTGTGCATAAAAAAATCATGTAACCAAGACCGTGCATGCTTGGAAATGAAAGAATACAATACAATACAATACATTACATGATCATGGGATGTTGTATTCGGTTTTACGAGAATTTTCATAACTTTAGTAACTTATATGAGACTAGCATGCACAAAAAAAAACAAACGCTCATTCATCTAATATTCTCATTGTGTGTACGAGGCTTAAGAAACACGAGGGGCCCATAGCTCTGCTCACCCCTGGCCTATCTTGTATATGATACCCGGGTGCCGGTCATCATAGTCCATCTCCACTCTTTTTTGCAAATATGAAAGTATCTCAGTCGCACTTCTCTTAGCTCCTCTTGCAGTATTTTTTAATAATTAATTGGTTGCATAGAGTATGGGGGCACTCGAGAAAAGGAGCCTGGAGTGTAAAGTGGTGGACCCCAGAAGTAGAGGATTGGGGCCACTCTGTATAATACTTGTGATGGCACGCCCTAAGCCGAGGTGTTCATAAACACACAGTGTGCCTTGACCACGCCTCACTCCCTCCTCACCAGATTTGACTGACAGCAGCAGGAGCCAATGGCTCCTGCTGCTTCCAGTAAAGCCTGTGAAAGCAAGAAGAGAACAAACAGGGATGGCTTTGGAACAGAGCTGGATTGAAAGTAGTATCAAGTAAGTGTTTAGAAAGAGGTGGGTAGGCACAAAAAATGTTTTTTTTTTTACCTTAATGCATAAAATGCATTAAGGCAATAAACTTTTCTGCCTTTAGAACCACTTTAAATGTAAGTTTTAGGAATGTCTGCTATCAGCAATGTGCTCAGGCAGGAGAGAATACAAGTAAATAATTTAAAAGAACAAATGCTCTCAGAAAGGCAAGCCTGCAGAAGTGTAACAATTCAAGGAAGGAGATTCAGATTCTTATAGATGCTGTTTATAGATGCCATTGTTAATTGGTTCCCTTTCAAAAGAATTATTGTTTCAAGGAAATTATTTCACAGAAAATGTGCTGATTTCATGGACAGCAACATTTAAAGCAAGCAGGGACTCTCAATTTAGTTTTCTTAAAATGTTTTTGTTTTTTTTGTCTTTTTGTGTGTATTTGATCATTATTTACGTACTGTTGCTTAACAGTATATAAAAAGCTAATGAGGGGCCATTTCTTGGTCGATTATGTTATTAAGTTAGTTTTGCCTTTACTAGGTACCAACACTTGTAGATAAATCCACTATCAGATGTGACAGTTGAGAGGATCCGGAAGTCCCTCAAAAGCCCACGAGATATGTAGCTATCTTTTTCTTTGAGGCTGAGCTGTGTTAAAAGGCATTATTATTTTCATGGGCCTATGCCAGCATAATCTGTAAATGTGCCACAAATTCTCAGCACATATCGGCTATGTGTTGTTTTATTGTGCATCTAGACTAGATTAAGTCAATGGAGTTAATGCATTAAAAAATAAAAACATTTCCTCTTGTGTGCAGCAACCAATATGCGTGCAATTACCATTCCCGTAGTCCAGAATTTAAAGCATTGTCTAGCCAAAACTTGTTTCTCTTAGTTTTGGATAAAATGGGGATGAGTTAGGAACTCTGTGGGGTTTTTACTGCTATCTGAGGCTCAATTATTATTATTATTATACAGGATTTATATAGCGCCAACAGTTTGTGTAACGCTTTACAAAATGAAGGTAGACATTACAGTTACAATACAATTTGGTACAAGAGGAAACAGAGGGCCCTGCTCAATTAGAAAGGTTTCCACTCTCTTCTTGACCTGATGACCACAATTTACCAGACAGGATAAAGGAGGAACTCTCCAATAACTGCACAGGCAGAAAAAAAAATTTTTTTTTTTAGTAGAGTAGGGGAAGACTAGAACCCCTATCATTTTTTTTTATTTTTGTCTATGCCCTTGTTGCAGATTTTCCCTCACTTGTCTTGGGAAACTGTTGCCACCAAAAAAGCTCTCTCTCGCTTTATCCAAACCAAAAAAATTTGGCTTCACATTCACTTTAAAATAAAACAAGGCTTCTTATTGCTGACTCTGAAAAAATGTATATGAACCCCAAAATTCAGTTTATTTCTTTCCAATTAAGGACTGGAAAGAGAATGACCAACGTAGTTTATACTTAAAGTGACACCAAACTATATCCTTGTTCTCCAAAAATAATCCATATACATCCACTACTTAATGGCCCTGTAATCCTATTTATTATAATATTATTATATTGTTCCTGATTGTGTGTTTTTCTACCTCCTTGTAGTCCCCCTTCACTTCAGTTCGCTTGAAATGAGCACTGCACATAAGTCGCGCTCATGTGCACTGCATAGTTCCTAGTCCCTGGTCCATCTTGGGAGTGAGCAAGAGAGGGTGGTTATGTTCCTACATACAATGAACATAGCCACCCTCTAACAGAAGGTTGAATCACAGCATAAAAAGAGAGCAATAGAAGGTACTTTTCTGATTTAGGAATACATTCTTAGATAGACTGGTTTTTTTTTTACACCAGAATTTGGTGTTACTTTAACCACTTGCCCTCCAGAGGATTTATCCCCCTTCCTGACCAGGCTATTTTTTGCGATATGGTATTGCATTATTTTAATTGACAACTGCGCAGTCATGCAATGCTGCATCCAAATAAAATGTTATCCTTTTTTTTTTCTCACAAATAGATCTTAATTTTGGTGGTATTTAATCGCCTCTGCGTTTTGTATTTTTTGCGCTATAAACAAAAAAGGCAGACAATTTTGAAAAAAAAAACCCAATATTTTTGAATGTTTGCAATAAAACATCCAGTAAAAAATATTTAAAAATCAAATTTCGTCATAAATTTCGGCCAAAATCTATTCTGCTACATGTCTTTGATAAAACAAAATCCCAATACGTGTACATTAATTGGTTTAAGTAAAAGTTATAGCATCTACAAATGGCGGTATATACCGGAATTTTTTTTTTTTTTAATACTAGTAATGGTGGCCATCAGCGACTTATAGCGGGACTGCGGCGGGCATTCTGACACTGGGGGGGACCTGACTAACTGCCACTGACATCCCCAATGACACTAATACAGTGATCAGTGCTAATAAAAAGCTCTGACACTGTACTAATGACACTGGGCAGGAAAGGGTTAACATCTGGGGTGATCAAAGGGTTTACTGTGTGCTGTGTACTGTTTTACTGTGTGCTGTGTGTGATTTACTATGTAAGCATGCTGGAGCTGACAGGGGAGAGATCTGTATTGTTTACATACAGACGTCATCCCTGTCAGTGTTCTTCAGCGATCGCCGGGTGCCGGCGGAGAATCTCCGACCGGGACCTGGTGATCGAAGGCTGTAGCCGCCAATGGCAAATGCAAAATTACATATATATATATATATATATATATACTTGATTTTGCTTTACCCTGCTGTAGCAGTATTTGTGCTATAGGGCGGCAGGGAAGTAGTTAAAGCCTTTCTCAAGTCATATGTCATTTTTAGGCATGCTGAACAGAATGAAACAAACACACAATGTTGCCATCATAGTCAGGTCTTGCGTATCTGTATGTGTTCCCGTTACTAGCCAGAGAGTATAAAAAAACAAAGACCTGAATGAGTCATGCAATCCTTCATGATTCGCTGTTTGGGTGGAAAAATTCAAAACTTCTAATGATGAAAAATTCATTGACTTAGCTTGATTAGAGTAAGTTACTGACATGAACTTCTAGAATTATAGTTTCTGAATGATCATTGCTAGCAGTTACTGTCAATAACCAGTTATGGCAAGCTGGTTTGTAACTACAGACCACCCAGACATAATTACCACCAGGTCAAAAGCAGGTAGCCTTTCACTGGAGACTCTGTCAATGAAAGTGGATATAAACCATGAAAACAGCCTAAGCGTATTTTTACTGCTTTTCCCAACTTCAGTCCATGCTGTTATCAGTTGGTGTGGCCCAAAGCTAGCTGGGATTGTCCTTTGCACAGACATGTTCCAAGGAATGAAATTGCTGGAGGTGTGTACTCACTATCTGAATCATATTTCCCCACCACGCACACTCGCAGTGTCTGGAAAGTTACTTGCTGCAAAACAGATTACATAGCTACATAGTTAGTTTTGCTTAAAAAAGAAAAAAGTACATCCAGTTCAAACATTAAAAAAAAAAAAAAAAGTTATAATCCTTTACCCACAGTTGATCCAGAGGAAGGCAAAAAAACCCAGCAAAGCATGATCCAATTTGCTCCTAAACGCGCTAATGTTGTGTCACAAAAAAAAATTGCAACTCCCACTCATATTCATAGTTCTATTCATAGTTAGTCTGGCTGAAAAAAGACAAAAGTCCATCCAGTTCAAAGTTATAATCCTATACCCACAGTTGATCTAGAGGAAGGCAAAAAAAAAACAGCAAATCATGATCCAATTTGCTCCTGCTGGAAAAAAAAATTCCTTCCTGATCCCCTGAGAGGCAATCGGATATTCCCTGGATCAACTTTACCTATAAATGTTAGTATCCAGGGATATGTGTATCTAGGAAAAAATCCAGGCCTTTTTGAAAGCAATCCACTGAGCTGGCCAGAACCAACTCTTGAGGGAGTCTATTCCACATTTTCACAGCCTTTCACATTCTCACCCCTGACTCCTTAAAGCGGAGCGCCACCCAAAAAGGGAAGTTCCACTTTAAGGACTGCTTCCCCACTCCCCATTAAGGATTGGCACCTGTCAAATTTGGGCACCCGCTCCCACTTCTGGTTTGATCGCCTAGGCCAGGGGTAGGCAACCTGTGGCTCTCTAGCTGTTGTGGAACTACATTTCCCATGAGACATTGCAAAGATTACAAAACTGACAGTTACAGCTATGACTTGCAGAGGCATGATGGAACTTGTAGTCCTGCGGCTCTCAGGTTGCCTACCCCTGGCCTAGGCGTTCGGAAGTGGAAGGTGTCCTCCCTCCCTCCCTCCCTGTAGTTTTTTGGGACACATGACAGGTCCCAGAAGACTACAGGACCTTTCATGAAGCGCAGTGCTGCTCGCCCATGCGCAGTGGGTTCTCGGCTGTGAAGCCGCAAACTATCACAGCCAGGTGACCACATTGAAGATGCCGGCCTCCTAGAATACAGGACGGCCGGTGAAACGGGCTGTGGGGGATACACCATGGGACTGAGGGACAGGTAAGTGGCTGTTTTTTAAGAGTCAGCAGCTACAGTTTTTGTAGCTGCTGACTTTTATTTCTGGACAGGGTGAGTGGAACTCCGCTTTAAAATGCAGGCTCACTTAGGGGATCTATTTTAGGTCACTCTGGTGGCTTAGATGTGTGTTTCTGTAGATGCTGGAGGGAACAGCTGTACCAGATATTCGGCACCTGCTCCAACCTGCTTGTACTGTGCTGTAGGGGGCAATATAAGCGGGATATCATTTCTTCAAATTCCTCCTGAAGAAGCATTTGCAGACTTTCCCTTGTTTAGCACATGATGTCTTTAGGATAGTATACTGACACCAAGCCACAAGTGTGTCACGTGAAGCCAAAATAAGTCAATGAGTATATCAACCATAGCTGTAATTATAGCAAACCAGATCTACTTTCTTTACAGCACCAGCACTAACAGGATTTTGCTGAAAGAGGTCTGCGCTGTTAAATATTGACTGCAAAGAGCAAGGTCTAAAGGAAAATAGGAGGAGAAAACCTCACCCTGAGCAGTGACCTGGCAAGGCGGATGGTTACTTATTGCCTAGAGATCAATCAGGGACTCTGAGTCAAGAAATGTCTGGGGCAAGGTTCTTCTGCAATTCTTACTGCTTAAAAATATATTCTGTGTACTTAGAGCCTTTCTCTTTAATAAATACATTACCCCGTCTCTAGTAAGCAGCTCTTCTGTGTTATCTCATGCTGATCTAGCTGCAAGGTTAGGATGGGGTTAATGATCTGTGATCTCACAGGATAAATATAACCATATCTGGCGGGAGGCCTGGAGCCTGGGTGCGTCCTGCAATCATGTTTCAAAAAAAAAGGCAGGGGCGCTTTTCATGTGTGTGAACAGTTCATGGGAGACACATGGCACAGTTCAGGATTAGTACAAATTTTTTCAATGTACATTTCCATTAAACCCTGTGCAACATCCAGCATGCATGTACATTCACGTTCACAGAGGTGAGATAGATTGATAGATAGAATAAAATGAATGATGGCAAACTAAAGGATCCTGCAAATTCCTGCTCAGCAAATGTATATACAGTGGCAGTTATTATATATAACTTAGTAGTAAGTTAAGGTACATAATTATAATTATTTATAAATTTGTAAACGCTATTAGTAGCACTTAATAATCAGGTCCTTGCAATTGAAGTACATGTAAACCATACTGTAATTGAAAGACATTTAACTTAACTGCCACTTTTTAATTTTTTTTTTTAAATAAAATCCTTTGTTGCATCTCAATGTTGCTGATCTCCTGCAGCCTCTTTGCAGGCACTTCCGGAGTACATGCATATATTCCACTGAAAGAATGATTTTCTGATGGTGACATAAGTGGATTATGCCTGTGTAAAGTTGACTGAAACTGTCACTTGTAGTCTCCAGTCACTGCGTGACAGTGCAGGAACAGAATCAGGAGACAGAAACAGAAAGTTGTTACCCTACAAAAGGAAGTAACTTAAAGCATATCTCTGGGGAAAGTGGCTAAATGGTTAGCAGTTCCACCTAGCAGTACTGGGGTCAGTGGTTCAAATCCCAACCATGGTGCCAGATGCCTGGAGTTTGCATGATCTCCCTGTGCCTATGTGGGATTCGTCTCGGTACTCTGGTTTCCTCCCACACTCCAAAGACATGCTAGTAGGTGAATTGGCTCTTGTCTAAATTGGCCCTTGTATGTTTTAATGTGAGTTAGAGACTTTAGACTGTACACCCCTTGAGGGTTAGGGACTGATGTGAATGTACAATATATATGTAAAACACTTCAGGAATTGACAGCACTACATAAGTACCTATAAAAAAAAGTAAAAATCCAATCTTGCATTGCACATTGCAAGGACTAAATGCCTGCTTAAGTCTCAGGGACCAGAAAATGCAGTTTCAGGATTTGTGCTCTCATGCTGCAGCCCTTTCCCTTGCTGCCCCTCTGAATAGAATCGCTTTTCAGAGGTGTTTAAACCCAGGAAATGGCAACCCACTGTGCAGCAATTGCATGCAGTTTTAGCTGGGACCCATTCAATTAAATGGATTGTGTTCGGCAGCTGTACCACCTGTCAGATGCAACATGCCATCGTGTCTGCAAAGCAATCACATGTATACAACCCTGAGCAGATGCATATTCTTGTTTAGGTGGGTTTTTGAGGGTTCATAAAATCACATCTCTACCTCCTGCTTCTTCTCTGCCCTGGCAGCACATCTGGACAAGTCTTCTGTTCCCCCAACAGACAGCACTCTGCTCTATTTCCATATGCTTCCCTTCTCTACCAGGGGCGGACTGACAACTCATGGGGCCCCCGGGCAATAGGGGATCATGGGGCCCCTGTGTCCTTGCCCAAACTCAAAAAAGCCTATGAAAAAGGTACCAGGGGCATCTCATGGGGCCCCCTACTGACCCCGGGCCCTCGGGCGGTGCCCAAGTTTCCAAATGGTCAATCTGCCCCTGTTCTCTACAATCTGGCAGTGGATTGTGTCTTGGAGTCTTCACATCTAATGCAGGGCTGTGGGTTCTGCATTGTACTTCATGATGCCAGAGGACCTTTGACTTCAAGAGTAAAGGGGAGAAGAGGACCAGTCTATCAGCGTGGAATGGAGACTGCAGGAGCAGAGGAACAGGTAAATAAAACTGCTTTTTTTCTGGTCCCCTAGACCTAACCAAGTATTTTACCCTTGTAGTGTTCGACTTTGTCTCTTCACATCACAACTGAACAAGAATAATCAATCAACGCTAAACAGTGTGGATGGAGGAACCTCTCATGGCTGCTATTGTATTCTGACAGCCGCTGCTCACACAGCTGTCACAATACCCAAACAGTGACTACATCTGATGTTTCTATAATACTCTGCTCAAAAAAATTAAAAGAACACTTTTTAATAGTATAGCAGCAAGTCAAGTTAAACTCCTGTGATATTGATCTGGTCAATTAAGCAGCAGAGGGGACTGTTAATCAGTTTCAGCTGCTTTGGTGTTAATGAAATTAACAACAGGTGCATTAGATGGGCAACAATGAGATGACCCCCAAAACAGGAATGGTTTTACAGGTGGAGGCCACTGACATTTTTTCCCTACTCATCTTTTCTTACTGTTTTTCACTAGTTTTGCATTTGGCTAGGGTCAGTGTCACTACTGGTAGCATGAGA